TAGTTATGGCTGCGAGTGCTATGTTGCTAAGTTCATTTGTGTAATGAACATCCTCCATCATACTAAACTTTTTTTATAAAAAGCTTTTGTAGTTAACAAAGTGAGGTCGTTATTGTATTTGGTCTGCTAGAGTTAACCAACTTTTGCAAAGGTCAATAATAGGTGGATTATTAAAAAAAAATCGTGTTCTTCCTTGCTTCGGAAATCACGTTAAGCTGATGATTTCCGTCCAGGTGATTACCGCAACGTCCCTGGACCGTCCAGTCCAGGTGTTAACGACAGCAGATGAAGCTTGTTTATCTGCCCTGCGATTCTGTAAAACTTCCAACCCGATTTCGAAATCACTTGGGTGTCCGAATTCACTTCAAAAAGCGGCATCCGCTCAAACTTGAATTGGTAATAATGTTTCGTGAAATAAGTGAAGTGAGTTTCGAAATGATATAGGATTAAAATATCTATGACACGTTTAATCAATCAATTTTGTTTAGTATTTTTATACAAAAAATGGAATCAATATGATTTCTATACTAAATGACGAGAATTCGGACACATGAGTGAATTCGAATTCGGGTCTGGATTGTTACAGAATCGCAGGGCTGCTGTCGTTAACACCAGGACTGGACATACCACGCACATCAGCTCTATCATATGTATGTATTGAATAGATCCCATTGATTATTGATTACGCATAATGTGATAACGTGTTTATTTGTTTCGTAATCAATGAATTACGGCGATACAATTAGTTGAAATGGCGGATGACGCCTTTGACAATTTTCTACGTAGAGGTGGCGAAGCCCCACTCCTCAATATTGATGCCTATTATCTAAGCCATTTCTTGTTAAATTGAAACAAAAAAATAATACGTATTTAATATAATTCCATTATCTGACTGGCGGACTAAGTAGAATTTGCTTTTATTTTTCCCTATCATCATCCAAGTCATAAAAATTTAGGTTCATACGAAAACTGGGATGTGATTCAAAAACTGGCAAGATAAAATAAAAGTTAATAACATATTTTAGTTGCGACACACCTATAAAAAAAATACCATCTTTTTTAAATCATAAACTCTTTTTATCTGAAACATCTCTCTTAAAAAGGTTTTCCATTCAACGTTTTTAATGAATCGGTACACAAATAATAAATAGAAATAAACACAACAAACTAATAATAAAAATCGAATCAATTATCGGAAACAATTATTTTCCAACAACAATTAATTATTGTTCGATAAAGATTAATGGTGTATCTATTTTGAAAAGCTACAATAATCTGGATACAAATTTGTTCCCCAAATGACATAGCTTTTACTTTTCTCTAAGTAGAGTCTTGGAGGAAAATCATTTCCCGCAAACTAAATAGTCCGTGACTAATTCGAGATTAATCTCTTAGCAAAGAATAAATATCTATTAGTAGGTAAAGATAATAAACATCTCCCCCACATGATATTACCCACTTACACTTATACAGTACTATTAATAAACAGGGTTTAGCATCGGAATAAATTTACGCTAAATTGCCATTTTAGTATTAGTCCAAATTTATATTATACAGTGAATAAGCAAACTACCTTCTAGCAGTAAATATTAATCCCGTTGAACCTTGTACCAGGTTAACCTTTGCTTAGTCTCTGTCCTCTGTCTCCGTATCTAAAACGTAAAAATGGGAGGCTATCACTAAAAGACTCCGCTGTTGATGTCACTTCGTGTCTGTTTGTCTGATTTTTTTACATACAAGAGTAAGCACTGCTTTTACATAGTTATTTCTGTTTAATTTGAGAATATTACCGGAATAGAAACAGAATAATAAATGTCATTTTGAATATTTCAATTCATTGAAATCCTACAATATTTTCTATGTAAAAAGTATTAACAGGCTATTTAATATAAAAATTAGGAACGGCATCAACTTCATCTTTCTTCAAAGGTCTTTAAATCGGAATTCCTGTTTAGGATAACCACACGGAAAACAAATGCATGTGTGCATGCAAGCAGGCTTAGAGGGAAGGTCTTCGTTCGATCTGCCCAGCGGTCTCACAAAACCGCTGACCCTACAAAACAGCAACGCGGTAAAGTTTTACACGTAACGCGTTTTCATTGAGTCAAAAAAAAAGGTGCTAATATATTGACGAACTCGCTAGTCCTTCTACACTTTCAAAAAAAAAAGAAAAAACACTTTCAAATCTTTCGATCATAAAATAACACGCAAAAGTTACTGTAAACCTTGAGAATAAAATATGTTTTCATTCTACAAAATGTTTCTCGTGTATATGTAATGAATTGTATTTTGAAATATAGTTAACTGTTCGAATTCATACTCTTTGCGGCCAAAGGTCCTTCGCAAATAAACTCAACATAATTGATGATTTGAATCAACTAAATTGTCCATCAAAACAACTAACTTATTGATGGTAAACAACAAAACTATCAATTTTGACATGTCTTACTATAGGTATAAACTATTATAGATTTCTTATATTAAAATGTAGTTTGTTAATATGTATATGTAATAATCAATGTAGTTTATTAGGTTCAGCTAGTTTTCAGATACCTACTCTGTTTACATTCCTAAGTTACCAAATTTCTTTTATCATTATTTAAACTTAATATTTAATAAACAAATCTTAAACTAGATATATTTGAGGAGCTCGATGGCGCGTGGTTAGGTATGCAATACGGATATTAAGCAACTTTTACAAAGGCCGCTCTTAGGACTATACTGAATAAGTTTATTGTTTATTGACTAGTGACCAAATATTTATTATCTCGAGCTCCTCCATGTTTGAAGGCACGTTAAGCATTTGATTACGGCTGCATCTACAATGTTTAACACCATAGAAAATTTCTTTAATGAATAATGCTTAATAATCCACCAGCCCAAGGTAGCCAGGGTTGGGACTTGTTGGAGATGGGATCTTGGGTCTCGAGAAATTTAATGGTTAGACCGCAGGTTGGGAAAGGTGTGGGTTCGAATTAGTGGATTTGTTAAGCAATTTTCATAAAAGATACTTATCAGTTTGCCATTTTGAACGCCAGCTCATTTTCTACATTGACCCGACTGAAAATCGAACCCGTAATCCTAGTACTGGTAACAACTTTTAACCGGTATGCGAGCCACTCGCCTATGAAGGTTACCGACGATTTTACCATATTATGTTTATAATGTATATATGTATTTACTTTTAATTTTATTTAATGATTATAGTTTAATTTGATTATATTTTTGTTATTACTCGTAATTTATTTCCTTTTTTAATTTTATTTATTTATTTGCACAATCTAATTGTATTTATTGAAATAAATTATTTATTATTATTATTGTTGCGCGGTGTGTTATTATTGACCGCTTTCGAGACATCATACTGCTATATGGGACATTTACTTTGCCCAAACTCTCCGTATCTTTCCTCTTGGTTGTACAATGAACAATAATAGTTCTAATTAAACTAACTAACATAATAATAGATGTAAAACTTGTCTTCCGACTTAGATATTTGTAACAAAATAACCACTATATTTGTAACAATGAGTAAGTACCGCAAGAAGAAATAAATAATTACCAGATTATAAACAAGCACATCGAGCTTTTGCTTTGCATTCTAAGTATTTGACAAAGAAATAATGGGTTATGTTTTAATACACGTACTTCTACGCTTTAGATAGAAAAGCTATGAGTTTGGATAAAGAAAATGTATGATTCTTTCTCTCTCTATACAATATTATATAGGGTGCTTAAGATACAGATATATTTTTAAACTGATAGTACTCGGCTTTTGGAGTAATACCTACATAAAAATTAAATCAAAACTCCTTCCCGGTGCTTGTACTCTGAAATCTTATAAAATACAAGGGATTTTGAGAAAATATACAGAGTGATTCGTGAGGAAGATTTATTAAAGTCAGCTTAAGTATAAAACATTTTAAGAACTTTAGGAATCTGTATAATTTAATTATCTTATTACAACACCCTTTTAATAAGATAATTAAAGGAAAGCTCTTTTTACTACCACACAAAGCCATTATCAAAAATTTGAGCATTTTTTTAATGATAATTTAATTTAAGATACCGGTTGACATGCCATAAAGTGAAAACAATTCGTTAGTTGCATTGTATAAGAAGTTATTTATTTGACAGAATTAATTTTTATTTTTCTATAAATAAAATTAAGTGTACTGAAATTAGTTTTAATGAAACGTATCACTCATATCTTAAAATATTGCTAAATAATATGTAAGCATCCGATATACCTGTATAAACTTCAGTATACTATACAATCTTCGTAGTTTTCCAGCTAATTCGGTTAACTTTGATCCCGTGAATGTTTACGCAGTAAAATTTGTATTAACTGGCTGCAAACATATGCTGATATCGACACTCCAACGAATCAGTCATTACCGTTAAATGCTGACGATAAACTCCGAGAGTCCGATTTCTTTAAGTGTTCCTTTTAGTATTTATAAAAAAATCTTTTATTACTACTTCTCAGTGAATTTGATTACAAACGAATGTCTTAATATTGACGATTGTTTATTTCTGATCAGAATCAAACAAATATGTAGATTTTATTTATCTAATTAACTATGAAATATTAATAACTAGCTGTTTTTCTGTCACTTCGCGCGTGTGAATTACTGTCACCCTTGTTTGATCTAGTTTGCCGTAGGTGAAACAAACAATTAACAACTTCACTTCCTTATAATATTTTAAACGATAGACGAACGTTAATACAGATTTTTCGGACTATAAACATTTTTGTTTTCAAGAAAAATATGCATCTTACTTACTTAAATAAATTATCTTAAATCAGATCAAATAATCGTACTTACAACTGACTAACATACTAACTACAATACGTTGTAAGAAACCTATTCGAAACACTTTGTCAGTCATCTGCCCATCATAATACGGATCACATCAATAAACAAACTGAAATCACCATTTTAAAAATAGAACTTGTAGTGAGTTCGTCTGCCTCGAATCGATATATATCAGTTCTTAGTATCACTACACTACTCGTGCGCGCTTTAAATTACATTTATGGAAAATTATTTTATTAAATCACATTCAAATAGTTTTCTATGGTCAAACTAATCCGTTTTACTTCCGTTATGTGAATTAAAATTTATTACTTCCGTTATGTGAATTAAAATTTACTATTGTTTTAATAAATAACTATTTGACAGACAAGAAAGTGCGTGGGAATCAGGAACTTATTATTTGTGAAAGTGGTCGAAAATTAATTGAAATGAAATGTCGAAAAAAGGATAAACAAGTTCGTGTTCGATTAAATATCGACAATGTGGTGAGTTCTCATATCACTACTATGATATTATAAACGCCAAACTAATTCTATATATCTGACTGAAATACTGAATCAATTTTAATAAAGATAGTTCAATAAAGTTTGTATGCAGGCTTGTCATTGTCAAAGATAATACAATCAAACGATATATGTTTCACACCCGTTTTCACTAATTTAGTAAAACAAGGCATAGCATAACTAGGAAACGTCAAATCTTACGGAACGCTAAGGCATATTGGTTTAATTCCAAATACTTAAACATTTTTTACACGAATGCAAAACGAAGTGTTTTGTGTTTAGGGTTAATTATAAATGTATTTTGAAAGATATTATTTGATATTAATGTATAGGAAACTAATTATCATTAGAAACTTTATATCTGCCCGAGTGACTCTGCCTTTTTTATATTCAATATGGCAGATGACGACACATAAAAAATAAGTTTTTTTTTTATTATAACAAATTTGGATATCAAATTAAAGGTCTTGATGAGTGAATTTCAAAAATATATCAAGGAACCCTTATAGTTTAGCCATTTCCGTCCGTCCGTCCGTCAGTTTATCTCAAAAGTATTGGTACTAAAAAGTTGTTTTTAAATTTGCATTAGTAACACGTTGATTACGCTGTCAAAGTAGTAAAGTAACATTTCGAAAACAAAATTTTTTAGGGTATCTCTGATGTACAGTATCTACATATAAAGTGGGGATAATATTTTTTATCGTCTTCCCCAAAGTGTGGGGCATCAGTGGATAGGTCTTTAAAACAGATGGGGGGGTATGAGAAGGCAGTTTTTCGATTAAGTAAACCGTTTGTGCCGTTAAGCTTTAAATAGCTAAGTTTTGTTAGAGTCAAGTGTACCCCCCTCTACCGTTGGTAAAAATTCGAAAATTTCGAACAACTCCTTAGAAAACAACAAACGTGATTTTTTTTATGGATAATAACTTTGTAGATAAATGACAGGTGACATTAGAATTCTGGCAGTACGCTCCGTACTGTCAGAAATCTAATGTCACAATGGCGCCATTTAATTAAATAGCTAGCCACCCAATAAAATGACTATTTTAACCAGTTAGCTACAACATAAACAAAGAATTGTAGAATTCCTTTCTTTCGCCTTCATCAGCGCGTTACTTTTCGATTGATTAGTTGTTATCAATTCCTATCAATATCCTATTTGTTTTCATATTTGAATCTTCAATCAGAATAGACTCAATTAATCAGATGAATAGATTAATTCGTAATATGCTCATGGTATTTTGGAACACGTTTCATCGGCAATTATAAGTATGTGTGTACAATACTCTGAGTATACAATTGTTAGTCAACAAACAGATCATTCTATCACTCTGCATTAAGGTAATTATATGATATGGAAACTGCAGATAGACCGACTTTAAAAATATCGTTTTCATTAAGACTGATTTTTAGGATTCCCTATCCAAAAGGTAAATACGAGATCTTCTATTGAAACTGTCCGATTGTTTATCTGTCTGTCTGTCATAAGACTTTAATCTCATGATCCGTGATAGCTAGACTTCCACCTTTAAAGTCATTTAACTTCTAAACCAAACCAAAATTAGTCAAGTCCTTTTCAGGGTTTTACAATCGCATCTCATCAGGCGAGGCGAGTAATTATTTAAGAAAATAGTATAAATTAAGCAGATATTTTTAACCAATATATGAGAATTTTAACTACATAAGAAATTATACTCGTAATAATTCTTCATCTATTCATTCATCATCAGCCCTTTTACGTCCCCACTGCAGGGGCTCTGGCCTTCCTTATGGATGGTTAAGGAGGATGGGCCATGACCCTCCACGCTGGCTCAATGCGGATTGGAGGGTATTAACGACTGCAAATGCAACCGGGACCAACGGCTTAACGTGCCTTCCAAAGCACGGAGTAGCTCGAGATAATAATTTTTTGGTCACCCATCCCGTGACCGACCCTTGCGAAAGTTGCTTAACGATAAAGATCGCGGACTTCATTAAAATTCATGTACTCGTATATTTGTTAAAAATATTTACTTTCACTCGACTATAAATGCGGGTGTTAACTATAGTAACAAACTTCATTTACCTAATTAATAAATATATAATAAAAAAAATATAGACTCATACTTTTGCAAATGCGTAAGTAACTGTCTTTGTCTGTGTTACGTTTTCACGCCTAAACTATTGAACCAATCTTAATGAAATTGATACAAAGATAGAGAAGGCCTTGGAAAAGGACATAGGATAATTTTTATTGAATAAAAAATTTACTTAGGTTCCACGAAGGGCTATAATAATTAGTAACTAAGGGCGTTGTATATAGATAGCACACAACACACTCAGTATGCATATACGTATACATCTACTCTGTGAAGTATACTCATCGCCACTAGCCACCAACACCTCACGTCTCACATTCATCATGCTGTATTGTGACCTCCTCTTTTGTTAAGACATGACGTGTGTGGGCTCCATAGAAAAACCTCCTCAATTCTAACTGAATGCCTTAATACTATGAATTTATCATACTTAACATTATTATGTGACTGTCATTCGTTTGCGCTTAGAAATCGTACCTGCATTTCTATTATCCGATTTACTTTCAGATCAGAATAAGTACTATTACTTACACATGAATATGTAATATAATGATAACAATATAATAAGACTAGGTAATCTTAAAGATTCCGTCGATTTTCGTCGGTCACTTTGTTGTTGCGCGACGCATCTTTTAGTTTTAATCATAACCTTAACACATGGCCACATTATTTTAACGAAGCTTTCATTGCATACAAAGAATATACCCTATCTTCTAAACATACCAATGAGATTACCTACGCTCTGCGTCCGTTTCTACGCGTGGAAAATTTAACAAAATTTTAATGAATGAATAATTCTTTATCGTACATAAACACTAATAATAAGAAAATAATAACACAAATAACAGATAGCAAAAATCAGCGATCTTATTAGGCAACCGTTATTTAAATCTAAATAAGGTAGTCTGTGGCATTTTAAAAAGTACAAAGCATAAATATACATACATAATTATATTATATTTTATAGCACTTTAACAAGTTTGCGAGGTAGCCCAGCTATATTTTCTTCAAAAATAGCCTCGAAATCGTCGTCGAATGACACTCTGTCTTAAAATCATTCATACCTTTTGAATAATGTTTCATTTGATTGAACCTCTCATTCAACGACGATATCTTAGTTATGTATAAAAGAATAGCATTACCTACTAACTGCGAAGATACAGATCCCATTTCAGGACCTTGACACTCGCATATATCCCGAACTATTTTTCAGATAATAAATTAACTATTTTCTAGTACTTTTCTTATTTATTCGTGCATTATGCACGTGCATACTTTTAATCTTATTATATACTATCTACTTTTCCCATGTAACAGCCTTTATTACCCTCGTATGTCATAGCTTCCAGTAGGTGAATGCAAACAAACAAACAATCTCCAATGCAAACAAACAATCTAATATTTCCACTTAAATTACAGTCAGTGTAGATTAATACAGATGTAAAGTTACTAAATCTTTATCTTATATACTAGTCGCAAAGCTTTTTGCAAAGTTCATAGGATGGGAGACCAAAAATTTATCGTCTCGTACTCCTTTGTACTTTGGAAAGCACGTTAAGCCAGATGTCCAGGCTGCAATGGTAACATACTGTGCCCCTGTGGTGGATCATGGCTAGGCGATCAGGGAAAGCCTGTGCTCTAGTAGTGCAGACATTGTAAGACAGATGATTGTGTGTGTCCGTCAATCTCTAATTAAAATATAACTTTTGTCCAAATCAAATGTCTATAGTCTTCATTTGAAGTAATTCATCTGATTTATCATTGATAAGTAAATAAAAAAACCGATTCATCACTCAATTAAACTCGATAATATTCCAATATCTTCATGATCGATCATTTAGCTATAATGAATGAAACTTTACATATATTACTTTACATATAACTTTAAATACAAATTTCATATAACACGTTTAAATTAAAACTTATATAACGTTAACAGATTGTTTTTATTTTGTAATGGACTCATTGTTATTGTACTGGGTATATACTCTGATACAAATACCAACTTTCAGTATGGAGATCAAACATTAAAATATAACACCTTTTTTTATTATGAGGGTATCATATATTTCCTTTTTAATTTATGAATTAATCCATCGACATTTTCTTTCGGATTATTAGTAAAAAAAAATCCTTTAATTTTTCAATGGCATGATAAGCAAAATACATATAAAGTAGCTTCTACGTTTTTTCGCGCGCTATTACTTATATTGCTTCCATGAAATACATACATTTTCTTAGTATTATATTTGGAACTCATATTTTTATAAAAACACGGACAATAAATATTTTAAATTTATTTGTAAAAAATCAATAATATTAACAAAGAAATATGGGAATATTGCATACCCTTATAATTATTTATGAAGCAAAAATATAACACAAAATATATGCAGCAGACTTTTGAGTCAAACATATATTCTACTAAATATCATTAAAATGCACTCAGAAATCCTTTAAATCAAAGTTTTATCATATTAAACTACTACTACTACTACAAAAAAAGTAAAAAATAATGTTTAATAAAAATGACTTTTTCCTGTAAATTTTTTAGTTGGATTTCAGTAATTTTTATTGTCGCTATGATAAATAGAAACCAAAATTTGTGAAAAAAATCGTGTTAGTAATTTTAAAATGAAGGTTTTTTGACTTGATTTTTTTTTTATACCTTCCGTAGCTAAAATGAGATGGATTCTTAAATATAGTCTCTTGTAATAGGCTCACAAACTTGATTAAAAATATTCCAGGCTTATATCGAATTATTTCCGTTTTTCTCGTATTTGTATCAGGCTAATAATGGGACTAACGTTGTCTTTCTAAAACAACATTCGCAGTTCCATCGAACTACTGGGAAAAAAAAAATCTAAGTAATCCTTTAATGGAACCGAATGATGGAACTACTGGGATAAGGCTTACGTTATTACGCAAAACGCGGGTCAGTGCGGATTGTTGGGTGTTTATAACTGCGAATGCGGCAGAGATCATTCCCACTGACACACAAACCACTGCGCTATTTAGCTCCTATAATTACTCAGCAACTATTGTAGAAGTAATGTATACAAAATGACTCACATATTCCAATAAAAAATATATAACAAAGCAGATATGTATATACATATGTAAAAATATAATGGAATTACAATACATAAGATTTAGAAGTAATAGATAAAAAATTGAGAGTTTTTGGGATAACTTAGTATTTTTTATCGTGTTTTTTTTTAAATTCAGACTTAAATAGAACAGAGACTAAAAATTTAATGACGTTTCTTCATTTTAAGCATGTGAGCCCAGTGTGGATTAGTGAGTGTTTACAACTGTAAATGCAGTCGAAATCAATGCATATTAAAATGCCTCTGTAATAACAGTTTACTAGCCTTCCGCCAGCGGATCCAGTTTTAAGTCCAGAAATTAGAAAATTTCAAACAAACTTTCATCCCCTTATTTAAACTCTTAGGGGTCGAATTTCTAAAAATCCCTATTGACCCCGCATGCAAAATTACTTGTAGTTTCTGAGATTTTATGATGAGTGAGTAACCTTTCGCTTTTATATATATATATATATATATATAGATTTGGACGCACAAAACCAGGTAAAGTGATTTAGGTGTGCGCATCCTCTTAAGGACCTCTACCGTTTGTTTTCGAAGTTGTATATAACGTGCAAAATATTATCCCTTTCATGGGCCACCGACTGAAAACTTGTCACTATTTAACTGATGAATATCTACACTGGTAAACTATAAACAAAAGAAAACTTTTTATATACATCATAGAGCGACTTGAATTGAAACTAATATCAAAATACGATATTGATAAAAAATGTTCAAATTTACAACATCCATTGAAGCTTAAAGGTGTCATTAAACCTTAATGGATAATTGTGCAACTGATCGATTGTCCTATTTATGTGTGTATGTCAAATGAAATTAATTACTGACTAAAACACCACCATCCACTTGAAAGTGTGCGCACCTACTTGGAATGTTTGATCACCATTTGGTGTGTTTGTGCAAGGAATCGATCGCCTGCTCGGATTCGGGATAGGCTATTCCTGACACAGTGGTCGTTGGTAAGCCGTATTATGTGGATAGAAACTGGACACAGTTTATTTTCGTGACAAAATTCTATGTTCTCTTTTTTTTTTCAAATCTTTTTGTGTACCTTTAACGTGAAATACTGCTTATCTTAAAATTACAAAAACAGTAAGTGATACAACTATTCACACCTACTTTTCGTATATTTCGTATTATCGTAAACCAACCTTTAAAATATGATCTACCACCTTAAATTGAGTAGGTACAATAAAACAGTTTATTGATCATCACATTCATGTAAGATCAATGTTCATATTATTATTTAACTCTACCACAGATATATAAAACTACGCTATTCTATTATAAACATAACCTCGAACTCGTTGACGAACATAACGCTGGTCACAGCATAGAGGTTCGAACAGATAAAACCTAGTCCAAAAGGAATGTTTTATTTGACATCGCTGCAGTCGACTACAGGTTTGGGGCTGTTTCTAAACAGAATAGTTTAGGTTTTCTCTAGTTTAAAAAGAGGTCCAACATTATTTTCTTCAATGTCTTTGTTACAGACCAAAATGAATCGTGGATCTAGGGAAGAACTCCTGGGGAGCTCCCAGGAGGCGTTGCGGAATAGCCAGCATGATCTACGCAGCTTCTGTGATAGACCACTCACAAAAGAAGAGAAAACTTTCCTCCTTCACGCAGACAGAGGAGACTATGTCACCGTTAAAAGGTGAGCTTTTTTTAGAGATGACTTGTGCTCGCGCTCGGACGGTTTCGCACCAATTTATTCATCGGGAAAAATAAAGATCTTTTGAAATATACACATCAAACCTTTTTATACGCCATAAATTTTTTTATAATCTAATTACAAATGTATGTTTTCAGATTTTTCATGATTGAACTTGCACTTACTATATACAGAAAACTATTCTACTTGCCAAATTTCATAGTTTTAAATCAACGGAACCCTAATAATTATGATTCCCTTGAGAGTGTCGAGTGCGCTTTTTGTGTCGTATATGTTTTTCATATTAATTGAGAAATTTATTATTTTAATTATAACTCGATATCTCATTCAAATCACCCGTTCCCTAAATAAAGGAAGGGTTTTGGGCTTGATAGACACACAAGCAACAAACAGTTTTCATTTTTTCAATTATAGCGTACGGAATCCTAAAAATAAACAATAGTAAACAGTAAATTTTGTTGAAATTATTAATGTCAATGTAAGAAAATACCGTAGTAATGCCAAAGAAAATACGCCATTTGATAGATTGTGCGAAAGCTTGAATAGACAAGAAAGGAATGCTGAGATGGCGGCCGAGTGTAAAATAATAACATTGCATTGCTATAAAGGACGCTACAAATACTTTATTAAATATTTTTTATTCTTATAATACTACTATAGTTAAATTAAAATAATAAAAAGGTTTTTATTAAACATAATTTGTTGATGGCATGGTTTATATAAATGTTGATACTTTCATCAAGATGTAGTAAGAATTTAAATAGTTTGGGAATTTATTTCTTTTCAATATACGACAAGCTTTGGGAGCTTTTTTATACTTATAAACTTTTAGTATAATAACAAGAAACAAAACTAAAACACGGTCTAAGACGCGAGTGCAACTAGTATAAAATACTGTACAATTTATTATTTACTAGCTTCACAGCACAACTTCGTCTATACGAACTTCGGTAAACCCCCAGGGAACCTTTTAGCGGGATAAAAAGAAACCTGAGTTTTTAATCTGAGATATTTTCTAGTCATAACACCGAAGTAGATTTACCCAGTGGGATTGTGTTACAAACAAATGTTTTGAAATATAATTATTAACATTTTAAACCAACATTCTCCACATCAAAACATTTCAATAACATTTAAAAATCTTCATTACTAATTACAATTACTTCAGTTCAACTACTTCAGTCTCTATAAATAAAAAAAAAAGTGTGGGAAAAGCTAAATTTTACAGAATATGCGGGTGGGATCAGTCGGGAAGGTCTTAACTATAACAGTGGGAACATTATGCTTATATTGAGTGTTTTCTTGTTATTATTATCAGTACATTTTAAGCCATTATTGGCAGCTAATATCTGGTCGTCCTAGTCCTGGATCTACTATAGTCTTATGTTGTCCCGCAAGCGAAAGAAACGGGGGTATAATTCTTTTCAATTTAACATTTGAGAGATACTCACAAACTTCACGCTATGACCATTTGACTTGTTATAGGGATTACGAGCGCCATGTTTTTTCTTTAAGATATTGAATGAACAATATCGTTAATTTTACGTTAATTAGAAATTGAAAGATTCTGTCAGGCAAGCGTTAGACACAAATATATTGAAAGCTATTGAGAAATATCAAACGAAAGAGTTGAATGCTAACTGTAATATTCTTTATCATTCAAATAATTTTTGGCTCCAAAATCGATTGCGACTCTAAACGTAACTCCATAAAACGTGGTAGATTTTAAAATTACGTAATCAGCCCACAGGTATACTTCTCACAGTTCACACGAAAACACATGAACACTAGCATTTTCTTTTCGTGCCCATCCGCTTATTTGATGGCACAAATAGAGATTTACTATCATTAGTATTCTAATTGTGCGGAATGAAAAAAGATAAAATATTTTTTTCAATTAATTACTCGCAATCCATTTCGATTACTGTGAATTCGCTACTCGGGTCTCAGTCATAGAATGACTCACATTTTTACCAATTAGGTATCGTTAGGAAATTATTGACCAGGTATAAGCTGTTTCTCCGTAGCTTCGCTCATGTATATTATACCCACAGAACATACTCTATGTTCTGTGATTATACCCTATGTGACTCATGTATGATGTACCCAATAGTTTCCGATCCTATTCAATGCAAATAAACAAACAAACATTTTTTTTCCTGTTTATAATATAATATTTGTGTAGATGTCGATATTAAGAGTACCACGACCAAGTTCGGGACAGAAAGGCCCATGAAAACCAGTAGTTTCACAGCTTCCATACACAAATACTCAATAGTATGTCTAACGGAGTGAGTTTAAGTATACTCGTGGTATTCCATTTTTTTTTGTCTTACTTAATTGTCCTATAAAATACTATAAATACTCTCTTCTCAGGTCTCACCCTTTTAATTGACGGGTTTAGCCCTTGACGGGTAAGAATTGAATGAACAAGAATGTGACACGAAATCAAATCTTACTTAAGGGAATCGATTAACGACACTATCTTTTATAACATTTGACACAAATACCTTTCCAAACCAGGACAAGCTTACCGCGGGCTTGTCATCCAATAGGTACATATACAAGTCGCTAAAAAGAATCACTACAGCTGCTTTAATCCTATTAATTAATCGATACCCGCTTTGGGGATTTATCTCACAGGTCGTGCGGTATTGTAAGTTAAACTGCCTTTGTTTTTTATTTGACCGTTGTTTTATAAACTTTACTAGATGTTTTCAAGCGTCGGAATTGGAACGTAGGCATATTCAAAAATTACTAGGTTTTTCGACGTATCTTTCCCATCTAAGCTAAAAACAATTGAATTTCAAAAATCGAATATTGTACTTTTTTAAAACAAGAACCTCAAACGATAGGTATCATTTGAAAAATGTTTCACTCGAAAATTATACCATAAAGGTTTTATATTAATTCAAAGTCTATCTATAACCATAAAACGGCGATTTCATGCTTTTACCTCGACTAGGTATTTAGTTCACAAATGTTCATTACTTTGTGAACTTCCTGAATATAAATAAACTATACTTAAGAGATTTTGAAATGACATATATAATTTTTTCAGTAACTCTAAAATTCTCTATGCAGAATTTTCATTCCTAGAAATACAGTGTACCTACTTGTAGATAAAACCTTTTACTATATTAATCAGACACTGGCATCATTTCGTATACCTTTTTGAATTAATATTTTATACACTGTTTATTGTTTTTTATGTCACTCTCTTCTTTACTATCGTCTGACTTTTATGAATTTACAACGTGAAATATATAAAATACTCCAATCCACTGTGCTTCTTAATTCCTACAATTTAAGACTACTAAGTAGAGATCGATAATTCACTCCGTTTAGGTTCACATTAAAAATTTATTTTTCGTAGAAAAAGAAATGTAGGATTTTCAATACAAACGCTATTTTTAGTATCTGAATTTATATAAGTCATTATTTCCATACAAAAAATATTACCCACGTCTTTTAACCGACTTCAAAAGGAGGAGGTTATGTGTTCGACTGCGATATTTTTTTTTTACCGATATTTCCGCCAATTTGTAGTGTAATGGACCGAGGAGGTCCCATTTGAATTTTATCGAAATCAAATCAGTTTTAATATTTAACTAATATCGTTATAATATCGTCAGTTTGTACAAAACCTAAACTTACTATATACTAAAACCTTCCTCGAGAATTGCTCTATCTATTGTTGAAATTACTTTCGAGTTTATCGCGAACAGACATACAGAAGTGGTGGGGAACTTTGTTTTATAATATGTAGTTAATCTAGATTATAGACAGGAAATAATCTATTGGTCTTGCACTTACATGGGTAACATAGACTTCAGTTTATGCGGTCAAAGTCAAGAAAACAGCTAGTTTTAATATAAAACTACAAATTTTCTAAAAGTAGTGCTATCCAATAGTTCACAAATACGTACTTTGAGTTTTGAGACCAACATGTTCCGCCATCTCGCTATCACAATGCCACGTCGCATATTAAAGCACGCATCAAAGGAATCCAATATTACAGGCTATATGCCTCAAGTGCCTTTACAATTTTATAAAAGATGCCCGCAATTTCCATAGGAATTTTGAAGGATTCTTACAGAAATTATCCAAATTATCTTATACTCGTTGAGCTCTTTGACGCAGTGATTAGTGCGTTTTGTTTGACATTATATTAGTTTTGAAAGTATCGTAAAAACATGTCATCGGATTGATGAAAATTTTTTAAACTTTATCTCATTCGAACTTAAAAAAAAATGTATTTGTTTGCCCAGCTGTAATTATAGTCTTCAATACCAATCCAAGATTTATATTACCTTTAGTCTAATACCAATTTAGACTGATGTCACTGATCACATATGTATCAAACTGAAGTGACAGTGAGTCAGCCACATTATCACAGAACCTAAAAGATGTGGTGTAGATGGGATCAGTAATGGAGATTAGGTCTCCACAAATGTAGTTTCGGATGTCCCAGGCAAGACGAACAGATGGTCTAAGAAAGGTGGCGGCTGGATGAGGATAGCAAGAGATCGTGTTTGTTGCACGCTATAATAGACTTTGATAATGAATGATACGTTTAAGACTCTTTGTTACCTTAGCGGCAAAATTACTAATTAGGATAACACTAATGTCTTACTTACAGGTTAATAGACCAATACTCGGCCAATCCAGACATATTGGACATAAACTGCGTAGATCCGCTCAACCGGTCCGCCCTGATAGCCGCCATCGAAAACGAGAACTTCGAACTTATCAAACTACTCCTGGAGTCTGGAATCCAAGTCAAGGTCAGTGCCAACAATTATTTTTTATTTGTAGTATTTTTAATTTACATGTGTTGAGATTGAGTTTCAACTTGGCATATTTTTTCCGACACCTGTTAAAAATATATCATCATCAGCCGTTTTACGTCCCCACTTCAGGGGTTCAGGCCTTCCTTATTGATAATTAAGAAAGGTATGACCCTCCAAGATGGCCCAATGTGGATTGAAAGGTATTAAAGACTGCAAATGCAGCTGGGACCAACGGCTCGAAATAATATTTATTGTCACCCATTCCGTGATCAACTCTTACTAAAGTTGCTTAACAACAAAGTTCGCGAGCCACGCGTTTATCCACAATGCCACCGAGTCACTAAAATATATGTGTTATAAATAAAATATATGTTTGATAAATTTAACGCTAATATTTCTAACGGCAATATACAAAATGGTTGGTTTAAAAAAATATTTGTAGAAATTTCTTTGGAAATAGTAGGGATACTCGGACATGTATTTCTCCTGGGACAAATACTTCAGGGGAAATTGATGGACTAGCCATTAGAAATACTAGGACATGTATTGTCTCTGGGGAAAATACTTCAGGGGCACTAAATGGATTAACCGAAAACTACTGGACGGATTGACACTTACTTATAGCTATGTGTCAAAATAGCTATAAGGTTCCTCACGGAAGGATTTTTTATAAATTGAACCCCTAATGATAAGTAGGAGATCGAAAATGATGTAAAGAACTAGTAAAACATTAATTACTTATACACATTTACATATCAAGTATCGAAACACGTACCTATTAACTTAAATAGGAACACTTCAAACTGTAATTTTCGTTATTTATAGTTAATTATTTACATCATCATCGTAATCATCAGCCTATTAATATCCCTACCGCCGGAGCATGCTTCCCTAGGACCCCATGTGGATAAAAAGATTTTAACGACTTTCAATTCAGCTGGACCTACAGCTTAAGCTGGAGGAACTTGAATAATAGGTAGAACTTAGTATATATTTTACGAAGATATAATATGATAATATAATTAAATTATCATGTTCTCGTCATGGATGATTTTATTACGAACTAACTTTTATAAAGAGCACCTAGGACGAAATAAACAGTGGTACGGCGCAGAGTTACAGCATATTTTGTGAAAGACTAATACAAATATATCCACACTCAAATCGAAAAATTCGAATTACGAATTCAAAGGCGATTCTATACATACGCACTTTATAAACGCATATACATAAAATTAAAAATAAAAATTCTGTGTATTTTATTTAAATAACCATCGCTCCGAATATCAGAATAGTGCCGCCAACTGTATCATAAAACTCATTATTAGTACCGCTATCTTTTTTTATTCATTAAACTAGTCTATGGTTTTAGGCTGAATATGAAAAAAATGGCGCACGCATGCGTAGTTTGAACTAAATTTTTCGCGCTTCCCATACATTTCTTTGCAGATCGTTGTTTGTATTCGGGGTTCCAAAAAATTACTCTCTCGAGATAATAATTTTTTGGTCACCCATCCCGTGACCGACCCTTGCGAAAGTTGCTTAACGACTACGATCGTGGGCCGCGGCGCTTATCCACTACGCCACCTAGCTACTCACGTAGTTTAGTCTAGCCTAAATAGCAAAATCCAATAAAATATACGTGAAATTAGTTAATACACTTCATCACAGTCAAACAGAAATAAAATCTATAGATGCCTATAATATAAACGCAAATATAATAACGACATGTAATGTCTACAGCCTACGAAACTAACGAGGCGTTCGACGCAAAAGAAAAACTATTGTCTCACGAAACACGAGATTCTTTAGATACAGGTGTCCCGGGGGAAATCACTCCTACGACGGTTTGTATGATCACATTCCAGACATTTTCATAAGCGTCCGCGTGTCTGTGACTACGGAATAAAGATTCCCGTGATTAAATTTTACGAGCAAATGTACATTTATAGTACATACATTTACATTTCCAGAACAAGATTCTAGCTAGAAATACGAAAATTAAAATAAATATAGGTATATCAAATTAGACCCAAATATAATAATATTAAAATTAATAGTTCTTTGTTTACACGAAGGGTTTGTGGGACATATTTTCAACTTAAATCAATTCTTTATTGCAATTATGTTGGTAATATAAGATATTCTACACAAAAATAGAACCATTACATTAACCGTCAGGGCACAGCAACATTGTACAATAGACATTAACGTGCCCATTACACATTTACTTTAAATGTTACAATAGTTAATAGATTTCATGTCAATTTTATTTTTTATCAAATAATAATCACAAATGCCAAAAACAATATCACCAGAATTTATTGATAATAATATTGGTAATAATAATAATAAGGTATAAATGTATATCAAATAATCCTGCTTCAAACTCGATGTTCAGTTCAGTAGGTAACCTCTATACCTTAAAGTGGGTTTTATTTGATTGAATCTCTGATGTTACAGCGCTAAACAGTACACCGAGCCCGTCTTTGTATTCTGTGGTATAAACAAATATTTCTAATAATAATAATAATAATCGACGCGTATATTTTCCTTGTTCATTGCAAATATTGTATATGTAATAAGAAATGTAGCAAATCTAAGAAATGTATACATTTCTGAGTTTACTTAGGAAATATTAGGTCCTTACATATGAAATTGGTGTTTGGTATGGGGGGAACAAAAAGTCGAATATTTTTTAATATAATATATTTATTTAATTAAAGTATAAACCATTGTTATCAATGCACTTTTGCCATCTCATAGGTAGTTCATTGATCCCCTTACTTGCGACGATTTCCACTGCTCCATCGGAGTTGAATTTTTTTCCCTTGCAAGAAGTTATCCAACTTTCGAAAAAAAACGGTAATCTGTTGGAGCAAGACCCGGGGAGTACGGTGGATGTCTTAGACTTTCCAAGCTCTTCTAATTTGGTAGCCATCACAACGTGTGTGGTCTAGCATTGTCGCGAAGTAGCAGTGGGGCAGAGCGATTGACCAGCCTGGGTTGTTTAACAGCTAGTTAAACAACCTAACTCGGGAGTGGTTTGCGATGGATCCTGTAACGGTTTATATTTTATAAAATGTATACATTTATAATTACTATAAAATTTGCTGTCCGAAGATTGACAAACCAATAATTTGCTATATAGATAAACGGCGACGGGCTTGACAACATGTCTTGCTTGAAGTTATTGTTCCCCGCGTCGCAGGCGCAATCCAGTTTTATAAAAGGTACAAAACAAGTGAACGCGCTCCTTGTGACATATTTCAACTGAAGGCAGTGTAACGTCAACATGTAGTCCTTGAATATTAAGATTTTTCTATCACGCCCGCTGCCGTCGCGAACGTACCATTATAAACGTACTAGTAACTTTGTTTTTTGAAAAGTATAATAATGTATTCGAAGTGATATCCCCCTATTGGGTAAGTGTTGCATAATTTCTAATCAGTTTAGCTTATATTTTGTCTAAATTTTATATTGTGTTTCTCAACAATATATTGTATCTTTATGTAATTTCTTTTTATTAACGGGCGTGTTTTAGTCCCATTTGAACACCTTGCAAATTATTTGTTACCTAGTAAAATCTAAAATGATTTTTTGGGTGTGGCATTTCAAAATACCCAGTTGTTTCTTTTATTTAACGAGAAATGCACACCACTTTTTCTTTCCTTAATTAGATAATTAACTTTTTTTAAAAAGCGTTACAGTGGCGCCCAACGTGGGATCCACGTTGCGAGCTTCCCGTCGAACCCTAACCTTGAGATCTCATGTCTCCCTTTTTTTTGGGTAGTAAACGTTTATCATAAAAAAATATTTATTTTATTACCCATCTGTTAACGCTCTTGCGGGTCTTAAACCCATCAATAACCTATAACTAATAAACTCTTTTTTTTTTGAAAAGCGTTACAATCCGCTTCCACAGTAGCCTTCAATACTTCATTATTAACTTGGGTCTCTGGCCTCCCACGGGGCTTGTTCTGCAGGTCGAAATTTCCAGAACGCAAACGGTGGAACCAAAAACACAATGTGTTTTATTTTGCGACACAACCGCCATACACATCATTAACCCTTCAAGCCGTTTCCGCAGCACTGGTATCACGGTGGAACTCTTATACGTAAATATCACGATATTTCAAGTTTTCCGTTTTTGATACTGGGTGACGTAAATAGGACATTCCTGTGGGAAAGTTCCTGGGTTCCAGCAGAGACTGCTAAGGAGCACTCCCTGAGTGTGGGTCCAGCCTACGAGTGTCCGCAATTATAATATTTAAAAAAAACACGGGAGTATCTACTATACCCTTCAGTGTCTCCAGAGAACACAGAAAAGAAACTTAGCGGTAGAATAAAAGTAAAGAAATTCGACAAATAATAGGAATTCGGAATACTTTTAAATTATATTTTAGTATTATTTCCTATTTTTGGCTTATTAAAAGCATTACTTTCTTGACGATAAACAGGAAATTACCTAAAAATGTCTAATGAAATCAACATCTGTTAATCAAAGAATACAATGTAGAAACATCAAAGATTATTTATTTTTAGGGACCACAAAGTGAAAAAAATTAACATATATTTTTTTTTTTGTAAAAATATAAATTATTAAATAAATCAAGCACCTAAACCAAAATCAATAACTAAATTAATTTGGTTATAAAGCGTGAGTTAAATAAGTGAGTGCATAGTTAAATAAATGAAAGTAAATATTAGACATCATCAGGTACATTACTCAGATTCCAAGACGAGTAACTAATACCTAAGACGACAAGGTACCACACAAACCTGAGACAATGCAGAAAAGTTTATTGTCTAGATTGAATCGAATCCGAGACCTCAGAAATGGCGACATCTTATGATCGGCGTGCGGCCCGCGCGGCTTGGCTACAACGGTGGTCAAAAAAGTTGATAAACGTGCGTATATTTAGCCGAAATTATTGACGCTCTATTTTGAATAATACGTACCTATCTCTGTTTATCATTGTAAATATTGACAATATTGATGTTATGTAGTACTCATAATACCGGGTTTTAGACGCGATTTCACACTGACGTCACGACGAGGCTGGAGCAGCGAGTCTACGCCTCTGCATCCGAGGATGAATCTTCTTCTGCCCTCAAATTTTTCATCCAAATACAAATTCATCCAAACAACACTAACGGTGTCCCTATTCTGCCCATGAGCCGTGTTCTTTTAGATTTACCGATATGTATTTAATAATACAGCGCGATAGTTTAAAAGTCAATTTTATGTATCTGTATTTTTATTAGGACGCTCTTCTGCACGCAATCAAAGAAGAATACGTGGAGGCAGTAGAGATGCTGCTGCAATGGGAAGAAGAGCACCACGTTCCTGGGGAACAATACGTGAGTTGGAAACAAAACTTATGAATTTGTTTCTTTACATGTAATTTTTCTTTATTTATGCATTTGGATCACTACAAAATTCGATGTGTTATAACTCCGTATAGTTTTATTAATTAGGGCAGGAGAAGGAACTAAGACATACTGCCAAATCATTGGTAGCAATTCTATATATATGTATTTTATGAAGCAAATCTTTTTTATTACAACAAATTACAAAATCCATTTGGAAATAATTCAGAAAACCACAAAATAATGAGGAAGTATTTAAAAAAAGACGAAAACACCTCTGCTAGATGGCGACTCGAGCAAAAGTTGATTTTTGCAGGAAACAAATGGACCAAAGACAGTCATTTCCGTTCCTTGTAACAAACATATTAAAAACTGAAGTTTGAAAAGTTTGAAACTTAGATATCGATACAAATACGAAAAAGTACAAATAGAATGTGAGTTGTTTATTGAGTTTTGAAAACTTATTTACTTTTGAACTTGAAAGACAACCGGAAAGGTTGTCATGGAGAAATCAAGAACTTACCGTAGCGACATCTAGTTTGATTTCTGGAACGAATGTTTTTTTTAATACTTGCTCATTGAATTGATGATAATTGTAGTTATTTTTTCATATTTGATCTGAATAGAGCTGGGAATCCGTCGACCCATCAGCGGCTACATTCACACCGGACATCACGCCTTTAATCCTGGCAGCTCACAGGAATCATTACGAGATCCTAAAGATCTTATTGGACAGGGGTGCCACACTGCCAGTGCCACACGACGTCAAGTAGGTACAGACCTGCATTCATCCAATCATTACATCCCATAATAATATATACATCGTCACAACAAAAAAAAATCAGCGTTTCATACCATATCGCCCAATGTCAACAATTTTTTTTTTAATTTTGTGTATATTTACTTGTCGTACATTAAAGTCTAAATCGATTGGATATTTTTATTTTACTCCGAATCTAATTTCTGTCCTTATTTAAGTATGTATTTTTAATATTAAAAGTATGCAAATAAATTCGTACCAATTAATGTTGAGAGAGGTTGGAATCCTGATGCGTAGACATAAATAAATATGAGACAACATCACATACATCGCTCCGATCCCGAGCTAAATCACTTGTGTTAATAAAAAAATAAAGTAGGTACCATATCCACCCACATCCTGACTAACTGGCCCTCAATTAAGCTAATGTGTAACGTATTAAATTATCAATAATGGCACTTCAATTGCATTTTTTAAATTAAAAAAATTGCATTTTGTCACTGTGCTTTCTACTTGAATTATTTATCATCAATGATTTATAAAGATTACAATATTATTTTTATATTCTGTACTTTTCTTATTTTGTGACATTAAAACAATAATCAAAACAATGTCAAAAATAATTGTTATTGAAAAACCATAATTACGACGAAACATATATTACCAGAATTAGAGACCGGGAGCGCAGTCTCGACATGTATAACAATTATCTAGCGATCGCAAAGTTAAGGACGCTAGAAAACTAACCAATATCTCTAATACAGTTGACAGTTGCACTTGATACGCGCCTTACAAATAACAATATACTTAACTATAGAGACTTAATAATCGTTAAAAGCGACTTAGCAACCGAACTCGGTTAATTCACGATCGCAAATTCTGTGGAGACTGCAGCTCCAGGAAGTGTATTAGCTGATAAGACGAACGAGCAAATGCGAATTTTTCAAGTAATTGTGCCTTTCGCTATTAGCGAGCGTATTTTCACCAATATTCATGCAATCCAGATGGATTGTAACAGCCGAAATAAATACGATCTTTAAGCAGTTTTCTTTAAAGAATAATATATGTCAATATAGCGTTGTGTATTTAAAATTTATCAAATATAATAGATAATAAATAAGAATTGGTTATGCACCTGGCTAGTAAATCCAGCCAGGTGCATAAGGTCCAATATTTCATTTATAAAACCACAATTCAATTTAGCGAATTAATCGGGAAACTTAAAAAAACTGTCTACAATCATGAATATTGTGTTACCTGTGTAGTATTTTATGTAATATATATTATAATTTAATAATTTGTTTGAGATTGTGGTCAATAAATGATATATCTCTTTCTCTTCCTAAATAGTGAAAAGCCCGCCAAGTGTGATTCTGACCCGCGCACGAAGGGTTCCGTACCATCTATAGTATAAAACAAAGTCGCTTTCCGCTGTCTGTACGCTGAAATCTTTTCTAGCGGACTTTAATGCCGTTTTCATTAATATATACATTTATTCAAGAGGTTTATACATTATATATAATACAGGACAACGCAAACAAAGCCGTTATTTATAAATAAAACACGCAAAAACCAGACTTATTTTATTTAATACAATAAGTATTGTGTTTTTATTTATTAATAGTTATTATAGAGCTAACAGAAATACACAATCTGTGAAACTTTCAACTATCTAGCTATCACAGTTAATGAGATATAGTCTGGTAACAGGCTGACAGTAGTCTCAGTGATGAGCAGAGGTCGGAATTAGGTAGAGTTATTTATGTACTTGCATCGAAATGTTGATATTAATGTGGACCTTCCCGGGATTTCTTTATTTTTTCTTTCTTTATTTCTTTCTTTCATTGATGTAAGTTCGGCAACGTCGTGCATGCAGTCGTTTAAATTGTGTAAAAGTAAATAACTTTTTGTTTAAAAAATCACGGGATTTTTTCTGCTCTTTAAAATTAATCTCGGGATTTGAGGCATATCCACTTTATTCTTTCGCTGTATTAAAGCAGTGTAAGTACATGAATAACTCTACCTAATTCCGACCACTGGTGATGAGCCACGTTTTTACCCTTTGGCTACGGAAACCTAATAGGAGATCTCGAACCTTGTTCATGATTAAAATGTTTCATCTTCTTCTACAATACTTCTTAATTCTACATTTACACGGCAATCAAAATGTCTAATATTGCCTTTTCTCAGGTGCGGTTGTGATGAGTGCGTCAAATCTTCCCAAGAAGATTCCCTCCGCCACTCCCAAGCTCGTATAAACGCATACAGAGCATTGACCTCTCCGTCCCTAATCGCTTTGTCCTCAGCTGATCCTCTTCTTACCGCCTTCCAGCTTTCTTGGGAACTAGGACGACTCAGTCGAATGGAGACAGAATTCCGAGTCGAGTATAAGGTATTCTGTTATTTTTGGAGATGCATCGATACGATAGGTCCCATACCAATATTTATTAAAAAATATAGGCGATACCATACTGATACTAAAACCAAAAAAAAATACATAACAATGGCCAGAAACCAACAAAAAAAATTGTTACACATCAAAAAACATTAAGTGGAATGGGTTATGTGAAGTGGACGTTACATAAAGGGTTATCTGTAATGTGCGAAACTCAAAATGTATCGGTGTATCGACGAATTATTATCGCCGCTTTCGGTATAATGGGAAAATCGCAATATCGCAGATATCGATATCGGATGTATCCCTAGTTACTTTTGTAAATTTACTATAGAAAAATTTTACTGCTATTCTCACAAATGTCAAGGCTTTTTTGTCCAGCCTTTAGAATATTTATTAGTATCTTTGGGTGCGGCAGTGAGTTAAAATAACAATTTAAAAAATATCTATATTGTTGTTAAAATTTAATTATTTAAGTTTATTTTGTTTTAATAGCTATCACAAAAATGATTAAATAAATACTAAGGGTCTTTTTAATAAAAGAAAATATTTTTTTCTTATCACACACTGAATAAAATAGTCTAACAAATGATTACTTTTTGCTTATGAACACCTCCGTAGTCGTGCAATTTTAAGGCCGATTTATAGGTGTCGCCATTTCTGAAGTCCTGGGTTCGATTCCCGGTCGGATCAATGTAGAAAATGATCCATTCTATATTGTCTCGAGGCGGGGCGTTGTGATTGTTGTATTATCCGTTTTTTCACCTACCATCAAAATATATTAGATAGAAAATTATCCGATGTTATTATAGGCTTTACGGCAACAATGTCAAGAGTTCGCGACATCCCTATTGGACCATACGCGTACCTCCAAGGAGTTGGAGATCATGCTCAACTACAACCCTTGGGATACAGACAGCTGGGAACCAGGGGAGAGACAGACTTTAGGTAGACTCAAACTGGCGATTAAGTATAAACAGAAAATGGTGAGTGAACTATAATAACTTAATAGTATTTTTTTATTCAATACCATTTTTGTAAGGTTCCCCTTTACTATAAAAGCACCCTTAACACACGAACAAAAATTAAATGCCATTTGCCTTGTTTTCTTTTTACCTCTTTTCGCAGTCTGAAGGTAGTATAATAATTATAAAATTTGAAGAATTTGTGACAACTTTCCCTTAACGCGACGAACTATTTAAATTTATATAGCGTAACGTAATTATACAGCATGATATAAATCTTAAGATGTGTTTATTTCTATGTATAAATTGTCTTTTTATTTACTTTAATGTTCGTCAAATTTACATGACAGGTTGATGCCAAAATTAATTGAAAAGAAAATTATTAGGTTACCCTTGCCTACTCGGATACTTTTAGATTATTGTGTCTCCCGCCAGTTTATAATCTAACGAGACAGATTGTAAATTGACGATTTTTTCAGTTTAACTTGTATAATATGTCATATATTATACAATTCTATGGATGATATTCTTGTAGTATAGAAATACTAAAAGAGGAAACATTTAATTGTTTGTTTGTTTTCAACGAATAGACTCTGAAATTACTTGACCGATTTAAGCAATTAAAGCGATGAAAATATGAGTGGAAGTTTGTATAGGGAAATAAAATGTAGCTAAAAAACCATGATTTGTCATTATAATTATATCCGTATCATACTATCAAATACCAAATAAAGGGTTCCCTAGGGATCACGCGGCCAAAGCCACTAGCAGAAAGCTAGTATTAAATAAAATCATAGCAGCTCTCTTAGGAATCCCCTTATTTAGAAAATTAATATCAGAACTTAATAAAAGATTGTTACGATTGTATAATAAATTCCATAAAATAAATTTAAAAAGTTTGTTGTTTCATTGCAATAAATAGCTTAGCCGCGCTCTACGAATCGCGTCTTGAGTAAAAACATTCTACAACTTCGCAAGTCTTCCATTCAGTGTAAACCGCGATATATAGAGAATAAAGTCGCGTTACTTTTCATTTTCCTTTAACATACGAACACTAGTTTTCCTTTAGAGATATGAGAGGAATAAACTCATGTGCATTTATTTTGATTATATCTAGATAGATCTAGTCTTTGTTGTTATCGAATCCAAATTTAATCAAAGATATATGTGAAAATTTCAACAGTGTATATTTTATTGATACTTACTCAGCGCCATCTGTCTAGATAAGAATAACTAATAATTCCAATATTTTTTTTATGATTTGAATCGGCTTCAACGAAGGAGGTTATTGTGTAAAGTTTGTTGTTTTCGTCATGTCATAGCATGAGCAGGAATTATGGGATGCCAAGCAAAAACATATTCTTTATATAGGTAGAGTGATACGAGACGGTACACTGTTCCGTCGCCATCCAACTCTGAAGCGTGCCAGGCACAAGGGTGTGACCACCTTACTCACTAACCATGATTCTAATCATAGAATACGACATCTTACCGAATATTATGACGACATTTCGTTTTCCTTTTACTACTTTTACATGTATCATTCGTTCGTCGGTTCGAAGTTCGAAGTGAATTCAGACACCTGAGTGAATTCGAATTCGGGTTTGGATTTTTACAGAATCGCGCTGCAGTATTCAAATCGAACGTCGCCGTTTATCTATTTTAAAGACCAAACTATTTTCCACAGTACCCGCATAAAGAACTCTCAATAACATTTATATTAATACACAGTCTGTTCCTACTTATTTGGCAGAGTAGTTCCAGTTATCTAAAGCTAAATTTATATAAGACCACCTCGGGCCCATAAACCTTCGTAAATCGATATCCAGTACAAGGAGAAAACGGTTAACATATATAAAAAAAAAACAATACATACCCATCGAACAAAGAAGGTCATTTTCGATGTTGAATTCGTTTAAATATACAATAGATTCAAATTAATAGAATAATCTTAACTAAATTTCGTCCCAGTGAAGTTTTTATAATACCTTAAACAATGTGTAAACTAGTAAGTGTTATACAACTAATCATTCAGTGTACCTCGAACTGTTTCTTTACAATTTCTAATGATCACTAGTAAATTCTACGAAGTTGTATGAAAACTTTTAATTGGCTTCCATATTGATTTACTCGAGTCAATATAATACAATACTTTCGTACATGTTATTGTATTGACGCCCCTCACTCTTTGAATTATGGTAACTTCGCCAGTGGTTAAAAGTCGTAAATGATTTTAATGAATAGAAGTTTAATATAAATTTCGTTGAATTTAATATGGCGAGTGTAAACAGCACTATTGTTTTCAATTTGATGCTTTTTTATTTATAATGGGCTGCTCTTGACCTCACTGTAGCCCAAGGACATAAATCTACGGTTGTCTAGAAAGAACCTGTGTTGTTTTTTTTTATTAATGGACATGTTCGTATTCTTTTACACTAGTGTGTTTTTGTTTTAATTTAATTTCTACAAATTTGTGAATATTTTTGAAGTTTTTGATTTAGAAAAACAAAATATTTTGATTATATTATAATCGACAGACGCAATCACTTATAACAAAACTGTCAAAAGATAAATTATTATTTACATTGGAAATATAATAATAAGAAATAGATAAAGATTAGGTCTGTGATTCTGTTATAAAACTTAGAACAGTATAGTTTTAACCTCCGAGTAGGTAAATTAAATTTTCCTAAAATATGTGTACAGAATATACTTTCACGTTATTTTTAATGTTGAACTTTAATTATAATGTCTTTAAAAATACATCAGGCAGTTTTTCTTTCGGTTGTAGTTCGTCGCCCACCCGAACGTTCAACAGTTACTTGGAGCGATATGGTACGAAGGTTTACCAGGATTCAAGAGGAAAAACATAGTTGGACAATGTATACAGGTATTTCCCCATCATCACGAAACTGCCAAACATTTATTTTGATATATATCTAGCGACACGTAAAAAAAATACGTTTACACCTATGTTTCTTAAATATATTTGGGTTATTAATGTATCGACGGTGGCTAACTATATACGTTCAACCGCAAAAAAACGAAAATTTACAGTAGGTAATTCTGCTAACGTTAGCACAATTATCGCAAGTCACTAGCGTTTCAACTACTACCTTTATGACACCGTTCTTGTTAGTGGATCATCATCATCATCATCAGCCCTTTTATGTCCCCACTGCAGGGGCTCAGGCCTTCCTTACGGATGGTTAAGGAGGATGGGCCATGACCCTCCACGCTGGGCCAATGCGGATTGGAGGGTATTAACGACTGCAAATGCAGCCGGGACCAACGGCTTAACGTGCCTTCCGAAGCACGGAGTAGCTCGAGATAATAATTTTTTGGTCACCCATCCCGTGACCGACCCCTGCGAAAGTTGCTTAACGACAACGATCGCGGGCCGCGGCGCTTAACCACTACGCCACCGAGCTACTCGGACCGAGCTAGATACGAGTTAGTGGATCATAATAATATATATTTATCAGTCACTATTGATTTGGGAATAAGACATTGCACTAATAATATGGATTTTTTAATGTAAAATTTTTTTTCTACAGTAAGATTATGATTAAAATATATTCTTTATAGTCTAAATTTATGAAATAGCTTTTTGTAAAAATTTTGATGGTGCCGATCATACGTATGTCCCATGGACCAAACGTTGAATTAAGCTGATCGAGATCTGCCTGGGCATATCACGATATGCTGCTATAAGCAAATAGAATGAAAGCACTTTTGGCAGCAGGTAACCCACTGTCATTATTTTTACTATTACAGTTTTCATTTCCTTGTGGCGTCGCCCTTTTTCTCACACGAAAATATACAACATTTAGCGCTATAGCGCCTCCAGTGACGCGAAACGAAACTATATCGATGTGCCCAAGTGATTAATTGGGCAAATTGACAAATACGTAGCTCCCTTCGATCTGCCGAACTTTAAACCGGGCCGATGGTGATTTTCCGGGTCAAATTAAGAAATGGCGGCATGTCCAGATATGCCCGAGAAGATCTCGATTGACCCAATACAACGATTGGTCTACGATATCGTATATACTTTATGGTAATTAATATAATGTTATTCTTAGGTAGCGAAACTGGGCGTTATGTTCCCAGTATACTGCACTATCTATATGCTGGCCCCCAACTCTGAGTACGGAAGATTCATGAAGAAGCCTTTCGTTAAGTTTATATGCCACAGTTCGTCCTACATGTTATTCCTAAGTAAGTTTACTTTAGCATCTAAGTTTAATTAGTTTCGTTTCAACTTAATCAAATATAATTCACATATGTTAAATATTGTATTTCGTCTGACACAGATAGGAGTCTATTAAAAGAATGTTTTGAAAAAAAAACATCTATAAAATAAAAGCGCTGGCATTTTTTAAAATATTGAGTGTATTAATTTAAGTTTGAAATCTATTGCAGATTTAAACCGTCTTTCTTCTTTTTTTTTATAGTTAAAAAAATACTTATTTATTTCATATTCCTCATTTTTTCGATGTTTCAAAATAACTAATATTTCGCTCCATCAATTTATATTAAAAAGAAAAATATAAAGAGTAACTTTACCATGGAAACAATAAAATTTTGAAATATGATAAGGTTGATTTCGTTTGCTAGACTAGGGTTTGTTGAAGCATTTTAACTCTTAAAAGCTCTTATTAATAGCTCTCTTAAATTTTAAATTAGCTCTTTAGGGAAAATTTATAGAATTTCCTGTTAATTAGTGAATATAAAAAAATTAAATTAATGAAGATAAAACAGAAATTATACAATCTTCGCTTATATTTATTGTTTTGTACGTATTATAATAATATATGAATAATAAGGAGGGAGGATTCAGTAACCTTTGCGTGGTCTGCCATTGAATGGGTGAGCAATACTTAGTGGTCTGAGGCTCGGATGCATTTGTTATCATTATCACCCAGCAATTCTCACTGAACCCGCGTGTATCTTTGTATTTGAACAAATAGTAAACAGATTCGAATCCGTAACCTTTATAGCAATCCGACTGCACTAACCAATTGCGCTACACAAGATGGTCAAATTTCATGCACTTCGTTAGCCCAAATTGTGAGTTTGAATGAAAATGAATTCGAATCCAACTTCGAGGTGTGAAGCTTAAATATTCTTCTATACAGTAAATATCAAAATGTGTATTAAATGCAAAAAAAAAAAAAACAATTTTAATAAATGTCGTGTTTGTTCTCCAGTGTTGCTGTCTCTCGCGTCCCAGCGAGCTGAGTACCTTGTACTGGAATGGTCAGGCATCCGTTGGCTTCAAGAACTGGTGGAACATTGGAAAGAGCATGAGAGGGGATCATTGCCAGGCCTCATAGAGTTCACAGTCATCGTCTACATAGCAAGTAATTTGAACATATAAGCATGAGTTATCTAATCATACGAAGGTTTAATAACCTTCTTGGTGTGATGAAATTTCACTTAATGTAATTAAGGATAAACCACGTGAGGTTCTAATGCGGGTGGGGTGTTCGAAGGACCCAAAACATAACAATTAAAAAGAGTATAATGAAATGTCACGTGAAAATATTTTACAGTTAAAAACACCAGCAGTGCTATTAAATCAAGAACTGCGTATAAGACTCTAGTCTGGAACTCTGTATCGAGAGCTGTCATAGATAGTTAAATCCAAATTTAACCTACTTGAAAAGGTTATGAAGGTTTTATATCATTGAAGCCCTATGCTGTGAACGTTTAAGTAGTAATTCTTCATCTTTTCATGTACATACAGTCCTTAAATTATTATACAGTAAAATATCTCAGCGTTTATCGTTTTTTTTATCGTTAATTTTCTTCTTTTTAACATATAAATAACAGAGAAAAGGAAAATATAGTGCCTTTAAACATGTTTTTATTTGTGATCACTACCTACTGTTTATAGATATTTAAAGATTACTTATTAATATTGAAATGGGTAACATATACTTATTAAAAAAACCATTGAATAGTTTTTAATGAAAATGTTGTAACATTAGCACAATTTTTTTTTTGGCAAATATTTTTCATTATGTTAACCAAGGATACTAAAGCCGTAAGAAACAAAGATACATCGAATAATTACAAGACTAACTGTGAACTTTTAAGTTCTAAGTTAAATCAATTCCTATTTAAAATACTTTGTTAGTAAAAATAGTATTCTGACAAGCCGTTTTAAGTAATTCATAATTATTTGTGCTTATTTTTATTTACGACTGTACCATACACTCTTGTCGCCCTTGACGCCGTAAATCGAATTAAGTCATTTATTTACGTACATCTTTGGAAGAGCATACATTTGTTATGATTCAATCAGTAATGTATACGTCTTGTTTATTTATTGGGGACAATATATGACGGTATGGAACGATATCTCATTCGTGTTTGATTCGAAGAGATGGATAGAAAAATCTCTGGGATAAATTTTATTAGCGTGACGAAAGCAATTTATAGTTGGTTATGATTGAAAAATATTCTGAGATAAATGTGGTCTTTTTGATTTTTTTATTTAATAGAATAATTAAAGGATTGCAAACTTTTAGGATGAAATCATTGCAGAAGCCTAAGAGGAGCTGAAGATAGGTTAAAATATAAAACGAACGATTTGTCCTAAATTTGTCGTAAAGCTCTCTTTTAATGAACAAAAGTTTATACTTTCATTGAATTAAAAGTATATAATTAGAAAAAAGGAAATAAATAGTAATTTTAGACGAAACTTCGTTTGAAGAAGCAATTAATTTCTATATGAGTATTTTATACTTGTAAATTGATTTTACGGCGCATTCAGTGCCCTTACATACATTATTATACTTGGTTCATACTCGTATATTATGTGAACGTAAATTTTTTGTTCAAATTCGCTCATACAATTGCGCCCAATCAGAATAGCTACGTAGCTATATAAGTCTTGACAGCTTCTTTACATTTTATTGCTCAGGTCTTATTTGGGCCGAGATCCGAGCTTTATGGACGGGGGGTATTATGGAATACATCAGCGACCTTTGGAATATTGTGGACTTCATTACCAATATGTTCTACATCGCTTGGATCAGCTTGAGGGTTTCCTCTTGGTACATCGTTCAGGTAAAAAAATCTCAAAGAAATATAATTAATATAACAATGGAGAATCGAATCTTTGACATCCAAAGTTTGAATCCTATTTAGAAATAATTATAAACGGCAAGTATTTCAAGTTTTTGTTATATAATTTTAGCGTGACTATCGCAATGGTATGGACCCTTGGTATCCACGAGAACGTTGGGATTCGTACGATCCTATGCTGCTTTCTGAGGGTATGTACTATTTCGTAATATCATTTTAAAAATACTCTTATTCCATAATTATCTTTGGCTTATTTCAGCCCTGTTACGTCCCCACTGCAGGGGCTCGGGCCTTCTTTATGGATGGTTAAGGAGGATGGGCCATGACCCCCCACGCTGGCCCAATGTGGATTGGAGGGTATTAACGACTGCAAATACAGCCGGGAGCAACGGCTTAACGTGTCTTCCGAAGCACGCAGTAGCTCGAGATAATAATTTTTTGGTCACCTATCCCGTGACCGACCCTTGCGAAAGTTACTTAACGATAACGATCGCGGGCCGCGGCGCTTTTTCACTACGCCATCGAGCTACTCGAGAAGTCCATATACAGTTTATAAAATCTTTGGATGCAAACTATTCACTATTATTTAAAAATTAGGTGCATTTGCCGCTGGAATGATCTTCTCATTCCTGAAGTTGGTGCATATATTCTCCATCAACCCTTACCTGGGGCCGCTCCAAGTCTCCCTCGGCCGCATGATCCTGGACATTATCAAGTTCTTCTTCGTTTATATGCTGGTGCTATTCGCTTTTGGTTGTGGTCAGTGTTTTCATTTTTCTTACCTTATTTATATAATATTTGCAGTAATGTATATTTTTTTAAATTTTATCTGCATATATCACACACACACATGTCAGCCACTATAAAAGTTGAGTGAATACAAATATAGATAAAATATGAAAAAAAGAAATTTGGATACTATTTCATTAAATTTAATTGAAATGACTCATTCAAATGTTAATTATAAATTGTATTTTCTGTTTACAAACATAAATAGTGTTGTAACAATAAAACACACTATCAAGTAAATGTTAAAAAATGTACAAAAATGTTTATGAATAAAAAGAGCTTCAAAAACGTGAAAATGCTATTCAAGAAAATTATTTAGAAATCGAGTGGAGATGTTGTGTGCTTGTTGACGGATTTGTTTTTTTTTTTTACTAAATAATATTATTATGAGTCTGCAATTTGCGGTTTCCCGCAGATTTTCATCGGCGATTACACATAAAAAATACATACATAATAACTGTTTACTAGGTTTAAACCAACTCATGTGGTACTACGCCGAATTGGAGAAGAACAAATGTTACCATCACCCCAATGGCATACCAGATTTCGATACACAGGAACGAGCATGTACAATATGGAGACGCTATGCTAAGTGAGCATTTTTTGATCTATCAAACATTAAGTAAACAAATCGGCTAAGTGAGAGTCGGATTCTATAAAAAAAAACGCAAAAATATCACTCTTGCTGTGTGATATACTATATTTAGTTTATTATAAATACAACATGAAGCATTATCTGTGAAATTGTCAAAATATCAGCGAAAAAAAATGACAGCGGAGTCTCGGGTCCTCTTTTACTTTTTGGGTACAAAATCATAAAAATAGAGTACAGTTTTAGTAAAAATAATTCCTCGCAACACATTTCTTATTAAAAACTCCAAATTATCTTATCGAAAAACTTAACTTGACTGAATCAAAGTAACAAATTCGTACAATGAAAATGGTGACACTTGAGGTTATAAGAAACTCCAAACTCCTTTAACATTTTAAACTTATATCTTAACAGTCTGTTCGAGACCTCCCAATCTCTGTTCTGGGCATCGTTCGGTCTCGTAGATCTCACGACCTTCGAGCTGACAGGCATCAAGAGCTTCACTAGATTCTGGGCATTGCTCACATTTGGATCGTACTCCGTAATTAACATCATTGTTCTGCTGAACATGCTGATTGCCATGATGTCCAACTCCTATCAAATAATCTCGGTAAGTGAAAAACTCTATCTTTGCAACTCGTACAAACATTAATATGTTAATATTGGTTTTCCAAACTATTTTTTGCTAACTACTTCACGAAAAACTATATGTTTCTGTACAGCTGGTACAATTTAGTCGACAACTTGTCCCATTTTCAATCATTTTCCAACTAACACTCAAGTCTAAATAAGTAAATACCCTAAAACGGAAGAAAAGGTTACATTTATAATAATTTATGAAAATTTATCTTCTTCCAATATAAACTAAAATAATAGATAAACCCAATGTTATATGTATCTATTCAGGAACGATCCGATATGGAATGGAAGTTTGCTCGCAGCAACCTATGGATGTCTTATTTTGAAGATGGAGATACGGTGCCTCCCCCCTTCAATATTATCCCTACACCTAAGCATTGTGTCTGCTGGATCAAGCACTGCTTCAGCAAAAGGGACCGAGGATCTATAATTGTGAGATCACGAACTTATTTCACTTCACATAAACAATAATTATTATATTGCGAATAACATGATGATCTCATCTACTTTAATCCATAATTATCTTGTAGAAGATTGCCTTAAAAAATCACCTTTTCTAGGTGTAGAAAACGGGAACTCAAATAGTAATCTGTCACTATGCGGGCTACTGCTCTAATCATTAATATATATTATTATATATATTATATATGTTCTTTCTCCTACTACCATAAAAAGCTGTAACCTTTTCACGTTGTTTGATAATATCCGAATCCAGCACAAGTCACGAGAAAAGGCACGTCATCAACATGAGGCAGTAATGAGGGTATTAGTTCGAAGATATGTCACCGCTGAGCAGCGAGCTCGTGATGAAGTTGGCGTCACAGAAGATGACGTCATGGAAATCAGACAAGATATATCCACTTTGAGATTCGAACTAATAGATATACTTCATAACAACGGTATGAAAACACCTAGACTCAAATTACAGGATACAACTGGTGAGTACCAAGACCGGAAAGTAACTGTCGTGACTGGATGGAATTTTAGTCTACTACTAATCACTGGTAGTCGTGACTACTTATTAAACATTTGATTATTTGCTTTCAGTCGCAGGTAAGAAAGGGAAAGTTATGGAAAGACGAATCCTCAAAGACTTCCAAATAGGTATCGTCGAAGGCATAATTAAAGATGTTATCTCCAAAGAGAGCAAACCTAAAGATGTCTTCAGCCAGATCGCTAAAGCTATCGTCAGAAGAGGCAGTACTGATAGAACGGATAGGTTAGATTAATATAATAATAACATCTAATATTCTTAAATTTGTTTAGACTGCCTATTACTCTTTACTTTTTCCAGTTAAAATCAATTAAGAATGTCGTGTTACCTTCAAATCTAGCTCTCTTACGTAGAAAATTTTCAACTAGTTTTTCCAACGATACAAGCTCAAATATTCCTCTTTTATGTAAATATTAAATTATCGACCTATTTGAAGATGCTAAATAAGTTTTTTTTTTGTTACGTTATTAATGGTTTGTAATTTTTTTTCAATAGTAAAAAACGCGATTGGAATGCGTTAGTGAGAACCAACACAATACGACGTGATCCCATAGGCAGAACGGCAGAGGCAGAAATCCGACGAAGCAGGCAGTCACTGCGTGCACACATTCTAGATAACGTGCAAGCACGAACTATTGATCCACAGAAACTGCTAGGTAAGAAAGTGCAAAAAGCACTTAACATTCTGAATTATGGAATGAACCTAATTGAATTTGATATAGTTATTTTTAGGAATACAAACACTTTAATTATTCCTAAAAATGCATATGAACATTGAAAAAAGAAGAAACAAAAATCTTCAAAATATTTTAAAATTCCACCGTCTTTTCACGATGTATGCCTCTATGTTCTGTGATATATGCTAACAAAGAACAAATACAAAATTGCTTACAGATGAGAGTAAAAACCTTTAATATCCTCTTGTCTTATGTTTTAGAATACAACCCCAAGCTATCTGAGGTGACTCCAACTACACGAGTGGCATACGCTAAGTTCATGCGAAGCAAAATCAAGTCAGACTACAAAGAGAAAGAGAAACAAAAGGATTCCGGTGACGAGTTCAGTCTGGTAGATGAGGTGTTCGAAACTCCACAGAAGCAGGACTTGAGAAGGACCAGTAGTAAGTTAATATTGATTAGTATTGATATGACCATTGCGGGTACACAGCTTCTTTCTATGAAAAGAAACATAATAACAATATGCCATACCCCAAACATAATCCCAATGCCATTATGTATGTTCTGATGACTGCTAATGAAACAGAGAATAATACCTTATCGTGACATCAAACCTACGGAACAGCTCGAATGAAAAAAATTTGATCGTCCTTCCTTTGTCAAAATTTTGCAACAGTTATTTTATTATTAACCGAGCTAGCTACTATGATATCATTATAAAACTTCTTAATTTATAAATGTTTTCGTACACTAATAATAATAATCAATAATCTTACTATAGCACAAACTAGAATTGAGAATATAGTCCTGTAAAACTGTGTTTTTCAGTTGTTATATTTTGTGCAGTAGTACAATTTCTTTTACCTTCGCGCTCATTACGAATACAAATCTCTTACAATATGGGGTGCAATATAATACTGTACAATATAATTAAGTATTGTTGTTAATCTACTGATTAGACACTAATTAGGTAAAATTAAATAAAAACAAATTTCAGTTCTCTTTCGTAAAAACAATAGCTTTTACGTGTAAAACAAAACATTTTCCAAGTTTTTCTACAATCGGTCAATATTCTACAAGTATTTTTGTGCCCTGACAATGATAACATTATAAGGGATAGAAAACTTTACTAATTCTCTAGAAAACTTATTCGATAACTTTGTTGAAAATATCATAATTGCACTATTTCATCTGCCAAATAATACATTAACAAAACAGAAACTAACGTGTAGGATTTAATGTTCATTACTGTAAAACACTCAGCATTTCTCGAGCTGCAGTATTTTCCGACATGTTAATGCAAATGGGAATTGGAAATAAAAACAATTATTTCCACTTATTCGTGATTTATCGCTGAAAACTTTTGTATTCCATTCGCTTGCAAATATGCATTGTTAAAATTGAATAATTAGGACAAGATAAATTAATGTTAAAGTTTTTATTGAAACCTTTGAATTTAACTAACAAAATTATAGACTCCATAATTTATACCTCAATTATTCAACGCCAAGCTTGGTTAAGTAGTTTATTTAACAATATATTAAGTCAGCATGTAGTAACTAAGTTAATATTACTAATCATTTTATACCTCTGAAACAAATTAATGAATGAATAAATAAATTCTTGAATGTACACCATGATTAAAAAATATAATTGATACAGTTTAGTTGTACAATCGGCGGCCTTCTTCCAGGCAACCGCAGGTTAGACTGGACTGTTACTTAAAAATATGGGTCGATGGTAGATGGTCTCTTACACTATATATATGTATAAATAAATAGATACACATTAAACATAAATACCTCTACGTACATTAAAATATAATTAGATAAAACAAATATAATAAGATTGTGCAATACCCTTTATTCCTATAGTAAAAGATAATATTCCTGTTAATATATTTTTAAAACACTTTAATGACATAGTTAAAGAAATAATTGAGAATTAAAATTTGGGATTGCTTATATTGCCAAAGCATTATATATTACTAATGCCTACAATAATACATATTTTGTCGAATTCTTTCATGTTTTATTATCAGGATTTTTATGTTTGGGTCATTTCTGAGCTTAGCAAACACTACTTATTTTACTTTGGCAGGTAAAACGTTCAGAAGTAGGACTCCTATTCCAGAAACTTCGGACGACGATGGAGCTAGAGATCATGAAATTACTGTGAAAGCTGATATTGAAGAAAAAGGTGATTAAACAAAAATGTATTGAATATCCATCTATAACTTTATGCCAAATCTTTTGCAGAGTAAGCAGAGACAAAAAATAGTCACCAGGTGTCTGTTATCTCTTGGATATTCTTTTAGTACATATCTTACGCTTTATCAATCGAAAACATTACACTGATCGATTATTTCCTTAGGTTCCGAAGGAGGTTCAGAACAAACAAGACCATTGAAATCTTCATCTCAAGAGCCTTCCGAGCCGAGCACACCAGCTTTCGATCCAATTAGTGATAGGCGTTTCACACCTCCTGTACAATTTGATACTAAAGATCACATTATACAAATAGACGAACCAGAATCTCCAACCAAAGCATTATGCATGACAAAGGAAGAAGATACAAGATTACAGAAACCTATAACGCCCACACCGAGCGTACCTTCCGAGCTGATATTATCAGCTGCATCATTAGAATCTAAATATAAACAAATGATAACTCCACCACCAACCGTTGCAGCTCCTACTCCTCCTATAACTAAACCTTCTTCTTCGGATACTAAACATCCTTCACCGATAATAAAACCTCCAGTAATAACCCCACCACCGCCCGAAAGTCCACCTCCTCCAATTCCTTTATCACCTGAAATAGCATCCCGTTCCGAATCTAGATCCGGTAGACCTGATACCACTACACCTAGACCAAGAACTTCTACTCCAAGCTCGGAACCTTCAATTCCTAAACCAGAACGACCTAAATCTTCTTTGAGTTCTCACAGAGTTTCACCATCACGATCGCCATCACCTTCCCGTACTCCTATCACCGACAAAGGTAAGTCTAAAGTGACTGGTAAAATGGTATCTGGATGGCTTTAAGTTTTATAAAATGTAAGGTTTTCGTATTCATGAATATTTTGATACTACTTCACTGTTTGTAATACTCAGTGATTATTCTTATTTAACTCATCCATGAATAATGTAAACATATCTAGTTTCTAACTAAATCAAAATAAATTTTGCAATACATGCACTGTGGCATACCAAGACTGTGCTATGAACGTCGAAAACAATGCGATGCCATCATAATACACGTTTACAAAATAGACGCTCCTTGCATTGTCCACTCCAGTGTTGATTGGTAAAGACACCAATCAACACTGGAGTGTGCAATGCAACAGAACAGTCTAATAAATAGTAATACAATGAAATCTGTTTTCCTGATACGTTCCTAATACGCTCATGGTATAACTCATAATTGCGTGTCGTATCATTGTTTAGAAACAGTATAATTTAAAAAATTGTCGTTATCATAAATAGTTTTCAGCATCGATTACATCGAAATGATGATAAATTATAATATTAAGATTTTTTTTTTTTATTAATCACGATATATCAAAGACATAATTTCAGAAGTGCCTTAATATAAAAAAAAAAAATTACTACTAAAATAAGAAATGTGAAATTATCCAGTTTAACAATAAAGCAAGGCAATGTTATCAGTAAGACGTAAACTAATAAAATATTTAGTTAGATGGCATTATAATCTTCAAAATTGTTGAACTTTAAAAGAAGACTACTTACTACTTTTACCGGTGACAATTATTGTATTAGCGAACGCTCATATTTCCGCACCCGAGTGAAGTCACAAATGTAATTTGGCCAATCTCAAGCCAAATTAACATGTAAAACTGCACCTACAGTCTGTGAGTAAAACCTCTATACTGAATAAAAAGGTTCACACTAATCTGAGCTCTCAGTTAAGGATATAGATAACAACTTCAACTGACACGATATTAAGCTGAGTGAAGTCGAGACATAACAGAATTATCTACTAACGCAGAATCACGTTACATAGACAAAGTTTTGATTTTGTTGCATTTCCAAGTTGGCTTACTACATTATTTCAGAGAACAATTTTAAATAAATTTGCACTTTTTAATAAAAAACGTATCATTGTTTACAAATAGTATAATTTAAATATACTGTTTCTAAACAGTTATAATTTTTTATTAACTATCAACGTCTATAGTAATAATTGATTTTGGAAACAATAAAATAGTTTTAAAGGTTTAAGCTACCTCGCTGAATTATTAGTGAGTAATGGGATTTTATCGCCCTGTTTTCAATTGCCAGAAATAAATTTCGCTCACCAATTCTATGTCATTAGAGAAAAATTCTAAAGATTCCACTACGATAGCTTTTTTTTCTCTAGTCAGCCGGTTGAGCTACACACTTTGTTAGCAAGGTCCGTAACTTCGTACTGAACACATTTTATGGGATAGATACTTTTCTGTAGCCCTGGTTTTAGGTTTAACATGCATACGACCTGCGTTATAAAAAAATCCCCTAGAGGTGAATATTTGTTCGCTTTGGTATGCTCTAATAATTCATTTTTGAGAAATATCAATAGTTACATGAAATCAGTAACAGTTTCCTAATAAAGTTATATTACTACTGTAATATTAGTATTTTTTACGAAAGTCATCAGACTCTGTAACCAAAGGAATTATGCAGCATTTTTGCAATAATCGTAATAGTTTGCGAGTAACTAATTAAAACCAGTTTTTGCTCGCATTTCGCCATTGTCAGTCTCTATCATCTTATTGTCAGACGCAATGAGATAGACTAGGTCAGTTATTTGGAGTTACACCTTTCTTTATTTATGAACGATTCCGAATTCAAATGTTAACAAAAGAAGAAAGGTAGATTATGAACTCAGAATAATGGAAAACATTATTCTTATGTTCGAATAACATATTTAAGGATAACGCTGTCTCTCCTAGATTACTAGGGAAGAATAGATTTAATTAACCATTTCTTATAAGTTATATGTTAAAACACAATTACCTCTGTTGACATACTTTAGTGTCAGAAATTAATTAATAAGCTTTACATAATTGACCTATTTAATTTTTTTTTTTTTAATCTTGGCTTAGCATGGAGTGTAGAATTATTTAATGAAATGAAATCACTATATGCTATTGTTAAAGACCGTTTTAATGGCATGCAAAGCTGACGTCAACAAAAGCAAAGTTATGTCATTTTTAACTTCTATTTTCTTCATTTTTACTTAACTACATCAGCTATCAGTATACAGACTATCACGCTAAGACGTTATAATTTATTATGTACGTAAATTCTAACTACATCAAAATAAATTAAATTCAAAGTGACCGGCTCGTTTACTGTAAAACAATTAAGCAAGACGGCCACCTGCCCAGCGGCAAAGCAACGTCTTGTCCAACTTCCAATAAATTGTTATGTCACAAACAGTATTTTTTTAAATAAAATAAAAATCTTATCTAATTATAACATGAGGAGAAATGTATAAAAACTTTATTTAAGATATTCAAACAATTTTGGACATTGGAAACTTCTACTAATGTTTGCGAAATCGCTACGGATCAATTCTAAAAATAGTACTTTTAAGATAATGTCCAATATAGTATAAATATGACTAAAAATAACGTATTAGTGAGATTATAAAATGCCTTTATGAAGCAATAATTAGATATTAAGCTGTTTTAAGTGAATGTTAAAGAACGTGTGTCTTTTTTAAGATATGACTCAAACGGTAATTGTAATATTCACAAAATAGATTTATGTGTAAATTCCGTCGAAACCATTTCAAAATCAGTGTCATACTTAAGCTTTTCAATATAAAATTACTTAGGACAAAAGCATTTGTATATATGAAAAAAATATTTATATTTATTTCGTAATCCATTTTGTTGTAAGAGTCAAAACACAAAATAACATGCGACACCGTGACATAGATGTCTCCAAACTCAAACATAATGTATGATAAATTCATTTATATTATTGTTTTATCACTCGGCACTTTATTATTATTATCTACTTGATAAATTATTCCACGATACTTATAACTTAAAATAAAATTATTTTTATTTATAAAAGTTTTTACTATTTTCAATTAGTTTGACAGACTAAATATAGAACTTATTGTATGTAAATAGTGTTCTAGTCATAGTTTAGAACAATGCGTCTTCATAATAAATAGAACTGTATTCCAAATGATCTCTGTTCAGAAACTATTAATTAAATAATTCATAGTTAATGTTTCCACTGCTAGGCACAGATCTTCCTTATAAAATGAATTACCTTTCGCATCGCAGACCGAACACGCTAACTACTACGCCATCTAGATTCTGAAATTCAAATTATATATAATTATCTTCATTTCTTTTATTTGCCGCATGCATTTATTTAAAACGAATAAGTACTATAACCCGTACGAATTAACATGACACCTGAAGGCCTATACTATTTGTCCTCGAACGAAAATTAGAAATATTTAGAATCGTTCTCATTGCTAAAATGTAGTTAAAATGGCATTCGTGAATATTATCAGGGCATCAGAAACAGTGTCAGGTCCTACCTCCGTCGTATCATAAATTATCGAAAAATGCGTTTCTTTCATTTCGAATATAGATGAAACGTAAACGTAATTTACGGTGACATAGAATAGTCCTTCATTTTGACGTAATTCGTACGATTAGTATTGACATTAATCTATCTAGATTTGTGGTGTATTTGTAAGTTCTTATTTTTAAGGATATTGTTATATGATTCGGTCATATTTGGTATTCTCTTTAAGTAAACCTAGCGTCGATACCAGCGTCGAACACACCGCTGTGACAGCATCAGAAATGCAATGAAGTAAATCCTATATCATCTTTTGAAATAGTGGATTAGTAGATGAATTTGATTAAACCTAATACTGGGACAGCGTTGAGTTCGCGCTTTATTTTTATAGAGTACCACAGCTAATATTACATTCAATTTTAATGAATAGATTTACTGGGTAGTTTTAGAGATTTGTTAAATTAATGTATAAGAATTATAAATTAGTAATTAAATAAAATGTTTGATTGCTTTCGAGTACATTATTTTTAATGAAACCAGTATCCCAATATCCACTACACACCCTTTATAAGCAAATGCCTAAAGGAATGTATCATTAAAACTCTTGTTTAAAATCCCTTTGATATGAACAAAACGTTAGGGTTGTCAATATTACAAAACAGTAAAATAACTTTACCTTAACACCCGGTTAATATAAACATCCAATAACAATATCATTACTCTTTAGCGCCATTGTCGATATAAATTTTCATATTAAGAACATTTATATGAGCTTTAAGTCTCCATTAAACCTTGGACTATGATTTTAACCATTGAATATGGACGTTTATGTAACTGAACGTAAGATTCGTAAAAAAATTAAAACAAACATTTATTCTTTACATAGTATTCTTAACTGATATATTTTAACTAGTTTTCATAAGTCATTTAGAAAGTTCAAAAATATTTAATAAGATATTAAAATCTTTAAAAACTAGTGGCAACCCTATATAGCAGTATTGTAATATCTGGAGGCTTCTTAAAATGAACATATTATATAATTTAATTAAAACAATAATATTCATAATACATTACATATGTATGAGTTAATTAATGTTTAGTAGCTACTTATTGTAAACAACACACTGATCTAATTCGGTAATAGAATCCTATTAAATTTTCTTGCTCTCAGTTAGGGTTGCCAGTAGATAATATGAGAAATAAAGACAGACGGGTCTTAAACGAAGAATTTTTCATAATATTTCGCTGAACTGCCAACTTTTTCAACAAAAAGTTCGTTTTTTAATGATATAATTATGAAAACTCTCACATGCCATATTGTATAAAGTTAAACTTTGTCAGTTAAATCTTCAATGTTAACTGTATCTGTCTAGATTTATGTAAATACGCACACTCTTATTTGCACCATTATATTCGAGTAAAAGTAATGAATTATCAAATAAATATTTTTAACAAATAAACAAGAATTTAAAAAAAAAATAAAAAATATAAAAAGTTGGAATACAATTATTATATGTTATTAAAAATTCTTACTTCATTCAAATCGTCTATTGGTAAAAAATATTTGCTTGAGTTATTACAAAAACTCGTAATTACTTATAGTCGACAAATACAATTGCCTAATGAGTATTTATCAGTGAGAAAACTGTTTCCACATTTGAGTTATGGGGCGAGTAGCAGTCTCAATCCGTAATATAAAAATCAATTAATGTTAGTTTGTCTCGCTTAAACTCGAGAGCGATTTTGGTTTAGAAAAGTTTATCGTAGATACACCGGATCATCTAGTAATCTAGTATTAAGAATAAAAATAGAAAGTGTGTTAATCATACTGTTTATTTTATTTAAACTACACTTCGTCTTCATAAATTATAGTCTATGTTAGTCGCGTTTGTAGGTTTAAGAATTTTTGAACAATCATATCTTTCCTCTTTATAATATTAGTATAGGAAGGGCGTTTTAAATTTTTAGATAACCAAATTTATTTTGGCGTGAAACTTAGGCCAAATATTATAAATTCAATTAAATGCCTCTGTTTTTC